CGGTTTGAGTTTGTTTTCTCGACTCTTTAATACACTCCATGCATTGAATCTGTAAATTGCCTCTTAGAGGATTTGTACAACGTTAAAATTCGAGAACCATGTATATATGTAGACCATATCGACTGCATAAGCCATAACCCTGAATTCCTGTTAAATTTTGTTTCTTGCACTTTTCGGGTTCTTTTGTGACTCTCACAACAAGAAGATAGAAACCAGTGGTTGAGGACTCATGTTGACATGACTAAAATTCGGTCACAATGGTGTAGATGTATTCCCTCCTTGAAATCTTCTAAAGCTTGAATATTCGTACTAACCTTTATCTTCAAATCGTTTGTTGTCATACAACTTTGTCTACTTTGATATCAGTCTTTTTATAGTAGTATGAAGTGTAGCAATTTGAACCAATGCACATATTTGTGAGGTTCTATACTGATTTATTTGTCTCTCTTACACGTCAGCAGATTGTAAGGCTGTATTGTTGTGAAGAACTAGACCACAAAGTTTTATCCAATAACAACCTATGGAATACAGAGGAGAATTGGAAATTTGTAATAAATTGTTTGAAGGTGTGCTGCACATTATTTATCAGTTTCTTAAAACAGCAGAATTTTCCTTAAATCAGCGTTAAGATACAATACCTTAAAAACTCTTTTGCGAAAACTTAGAAAGTATTAAAGCTTATCTAATTTGTATATCACTATGGGTTAAGGTATCGCTGTTTGACAACAATATGGAATGAGAGAAATTAAATAAACTAACAGGGATTATTGTTATTATTATTAACAACAGATGTGAGCAAAAGAGATGAAGCGGTTGAGATATTTTGGATTTTGAAGTGGATGATAGGTCAATATATCTGCACAAGCGTGATCTATTCTAAGCAACATTCTCTAGGGTCTCCAACTATTGATCCCTAACATACTAAGGACTTCAGTCAAGTAGCGCTTACGTTTACCAGAAAGAATTTGGCCAACAGGCAGTGTCACTTATACCTCCTCACATACACTCTGTATTGTCAAGTATTAGAGCTACAGTTACCCTCGTAGCATTCACCATTTGCTGTGGAACTACCATCATGCTTGCGATGTCGATGTGAAGCAAACAATCTCGAATGGGAGAGGTAATTCAGCTGGTGATGTTGTAAATTCCCATTGATTCAGGTACCTGGATATGTATTACACAGGCATAGTCACCATCTACTCCAAACTGCAGTCTTAACTGAATTAGGCTCAGGCAGAAAAAAGTCAATGACGGTGAGCATAAGACATGATATCAGTCCCCGAAGTTACTAACTGCTGGTCTGACCTCAGTGATTGGGGACTCTTGACGATATGCCTGAGATTCAGTGTCATTGGTACAGGAACTTTGTTTTCATCTTCAAACTTTATAATGTATTTCATTATTGGTTTCTGCAGTCCTCCTCCCTTCTGATTACTTACCACTACATTCGGTTACATTTCACCCCGTCCCCCTATTTCTATATCGTTTATGTTACTATCTTCTATCTTAGTATGCTCAGTAGATGTACAGTAACTTCACTCGTTACTCGGAAATCCCAGGTCCCATACTGATATTGACTGAAGATATTACAAAGTTGAACAGAATAATGGTGAATTTGTTTCTAAACTTTCGCTAATCCCTTGCTGGTACCATGTCTCAATTTCGGCGTTTGTTCAGGAAACTTAACTCCCTTATATAATGAGCGTACTTTGAAAGGTTATCTAAATATTGCAGTTTTCCTGTTAAGATAATTAAGTAGTATCTGTTTTCAACTTTTTCCGCTTTCTCGGTGCCAAACGAGTTATCCGTAGACATCACTCAACCTAGTAAATTCAAGAAGCTATCTCTTGTAGTTCCCCGTAGCTGTGCTGCGTCGGATTGCTCGACCTATGTTGGCAAGTGGAATTTCATGAGGACCCCTCGATTCTGTCCAGATATTCATTACATTATAGTCTACAAGGCGGCTAGCAGTGGAATCTAGAATGCGCGTCTCGTCCTATTTGGGACTCGTCAGCTGGATGTATCTGGACCTGAGTGATTGGTATTGTCCCCACTGAGGCTCGAACTCAGTACTCGATGCAGGTACATCCGTCTGACGAGTCTCAAATAGGATGAAATGTGAGTCCCAGATCCCACTGCGAGTCACCTGGATGAATACCAAGCCGTTTTTTATTGAAGCAGAACTATTGAAAATCATTGTCATTATCATCATCATCTTATTCCTTTGAGAATTAGCAATTATCAGCCAGAGATCACTAGCTGAACTTTAAAAGCAGTCGAAAGTGTACTCTACCAACTGATTTAAAATTTATTTAGCTATGTGTATAGATGAATAGGGTCATCTATCTGCACTTATCGAAGTTTCACACTCCCTCTGTTTTTGAAGTCATTTAGGTCCATATTTTCCCACTCTCAACTCCATGGTTCGATTGCTCCTCTTTATGAGAGGTCCCTTAAGATCATTACCAGTTGATATTTCTGTATGTGATATATCGAAAATCTGGCTGGTGATCTCATCGCTAAAGTTCCCCTTTACAAGAGATATGTCAATGACACCATAGTGATTTGTTCGAATCAGGAGATATAGTTTATCTACTAAGAAGACTTAATGCCGTACAAACTCATATCACCCTGACACTTGTGAGCAAGAGAATAATCATCATCTATCATTCTTAGATGTAATCTTGAGTCGATGAAAAGATGGTTAAATAAGACGGTCAGTCTACAGAAAGTCTACTTGGACAGGACAATATGTGAAGTTTCAGAACTTTTGTCCGATCCAATACAATCCCTGCTTAATAGGTACTATCTTATCTATACATCAGATACGATGATGGGTGAAGATATCAAATTACTGACCAAAACACTTATGGAAAACGGATATCTGTTGGAGTTTATAAACCTTTTTAGAAGTCATGTAACACCAAAACCAACTCTATGCACGGTCCACGATTCATATCATTTAGCCATTCAGAGAATAGTTGAATAGGATAATTTTGAGACGTAGGCTAACATCAGCCATTAGGAAAAGTTGTTATCATTGAGAAAAAAACAAAGCACATGCTTCATTACAAACCCAACGACTGCATAAATGAGTACGTCACATCCCATTTCGCTTACCAGTTTTCTGTGTATGGTCACACACATGAACCCAAATGACTTTAAAATTTATTGACAAAAAGGTAACGAATGACATTCAATGGTTCCATTGTTATTGATATTAAATTGATTCACGATGGAAATGATCCTTTATTAAACATAGCTCAACGACTATGTACACATCTGTGCAGTAACCAATGAGGCATACCTATTGTCTGAGATCTTATGGTACCATTTTGATGTTTAAGCCTCGGTGAGTGGACCAGAGTTTGAACCCATAACCCACTAGTTAAAAGTTAATTGTCTAGACACCAATTTGCTACATTTGTAGATCACATACTACAGTGTTTTAGGTGATGCATGCTTAGCTCCGGTCCTAGTGTGGACGCCATCACATGAATGTGGATACTGGATACATTCAGGTTATTTATCCTAAAGGGGATAAAACTCACATATTGGATTTCACTTTTAGCTACCAGTAAATAGCTAATATTGACTAAAATCCATCCATCCAAATCAACATAGGACCAGGCATTACTGCGTAACGGTCCGAGTTGCCACTGCTCATATCAGTACATTAGGTGAAAAGGCAGTGAGGTAGGAGATGAAGAAAAAAAATGCAGTCAGAAGAAATATATAGAGTACTAAAAGAGAGAAAGGATGAGTGAGAAAACGGTGAGATTCGGTATATCGTCGTTAGGATGAGGATAACATGGGTATACATCTGCGCCACTAACATCGGTTCTGAGCCATGCCATCACCTGGAGTCTCCAACCACTGGTTTCTCTTGTCTCGTGGACCCCAACCGGCTAGTCTACATCGCCTAACATGGCTCAAACCAACAGTCAGAGACTTCATACATTGGTGCCATGTTTTAGTCTGGCTGCCTCGGGCCTTTTTCCAGCCTGGACCTACTTCGGCCAACATTGTGTGATGAGGCAATCAGTGACTAGGCATATGTAGTACGTGTACCAACCATCTCAGTCAATGAAGGTTCACAACCTCGTCAACTGATTTACCTCTACTCCCTAAAGCTCTACTCCTGACTTCTGCCTTACTCACCTGGTGGTGACACCACGGAATGCGGCGTATACCACGAAGGCAACAGTGGTCAAACACTTGAGGCGTTTTCATGTCTTCCACCTTCAATGTCCATGTTTCACAGCCGTACAGTAGAAAAGAGCGAACTGCTGTGCAGGTGCAGTATACACGACCTTTAGTAGACAATCGGATATCACACCGGCGCCATAGCTGGCGTAAGTTGGAAAAAGTCAGTCGAGCCTTTTATATTCGTGGAGAGATTTTGTTGGCCACTGAGCCATCAGGGTTAATTCTACCTCCCAGGCAAGTGAAGTAGTTGACACTCTCAATTACTACAGTCACTATTGTTAGCCGAGACACCGTTGAAGACCAATCCTAGAGCAACAATTTGCATCTGGGTGGTCAGAAACGAATCCCAAACATTCTCAAATTGCCACTCAAAGTGTTCAGAAGACTGCATCTTGTCAACGTCTTCACCTAACAGGACTATGTCATCTGAGTATTCTAGGTCTAACGAAAATTCTCCTGCGATTAGGTCAGCCTCTGTGTAGTCAGGTGATGAGAGGAAGACCTCCATACGAATATCTATGATAAAATTAAATAAGAATGGAGAGAGTGGACATTCTTGACTGAAATACAATGTTCTTGAAAATATTCGCTGTCAAACCTTAAACTTTTATCCTAATCTATTTATTTGATATTATTCCTGAGTATTTCCGATTTCTTTTCGTCTCAAAATCACTTCTTTTTGCATGATAAGTTTATTGATTTTCTGTCTGTACTACTACTACTTGTATCAACTACAACTCCCTATATGTTTCCTATTTTGCCTGTTATTTTTTTTCGCTTTTATGAAATAGTCCGCTCCAATGAATTCCTTGCGTAAATTACCTCTGGCAGTACTTCTGGAAAATTCAGTACTCTTACAGGTAAGAGTATTTCTTTTTGTTATGATTGCTGTTTTGTTTTTTGTTAACTATATGCCAGTATGTGTGTGTGTGTGTGCATGTAAGTACTTTGACTGTCTTCAATTTATTCTATCATTAATTATATTACTATAATTTTGGAAATGAGAGTTTTGGAGTTGAAATGCTTTACTTACACCAATGATTTCTATGAAGGAAAGGATCTGATTTAATTTTTACGGGAAACGGCTGAGATAGATAAAAAGCTAGACTAGGGTTTCGATAGTGTTGAAGTCAGTGATTTCTTTGTCAGCCACTTGGTGTTCTACCAACCATCATCTGAATACCCCTTTTTGACTGTAGTATTTGCTCATGGTCAGATAGTTCAATTAATAATCAGTAAACCGGAATCTATTCATTGGTTCGATTACATTTCGACTAGTAGATGAAGATATAGTTATCTGTTTTGTCCATACAGATCAGTTTCCAGAGTCCCCTATATGTTACCTACAGGCTGCAGGCTTGAGTCTTGTTGCAGCTCAAAGTTTCTGTCATGGTTAGTCACTATTCATCCTGTATACAGAAGTCAGTTTATCTACACGAAATTGGTTATTTGTGCTACTAACCCTTGAGATAGGTGAAATCAAGATAGAATGAGTGATCTGCATAACACATCCTTATGTGACATCATCAGTACAGACAAATAGATCATAAGGCTAGTCTGTTAGTGAATATTTTGTGTTTTTACATCAACAAAGCGATAGGAAACAGCCTAAATAGAAATCAACATAATAAGTCATCAGCTGCTAAGGTAGAAGTTTTTTATTTCAGGTTTCGTTTCGTGTTACGGTGTGGTCAGGAAAAACCTTATTGGAGAATTTTGTCCTACAGTTAACCAATCTAAGTGATTGTCCCACTTCTGACGAAACGGTTTTATATGTTGATGAAAACCGTATATAAATGATGCCTGTTTGTCAAGTAAAGCGTCTTCGTTGCCGTCACAGGCTGGTCTTTACCTTCTGATTTTCGCGGCTCAGCAAAATATAAGTTTCTGGTGAAGAACAGTCGCTATTCCTTTCCAGTCCAAGTGTCTCATCATGTAGTTATCGTCAGCGTATTTATTATTGTTCACTCGATCACTTCAGCAAGGAAATATCAAAGCTTGAATGAGATAATTACTGGAATCTACTGTGTTTAACTATCATAATTATTCGTATTTTGAAGGTGACCACTAGTGTGTGCTGTGTTGCAAAGTATGACAACTTTAACTGACGCTCTATTTTATGGTCAAGGTTGACCAATCGGTCCATCAGTCAACATTTACATTTGAAAGTCTGTACTATGTGTACCATAGAACATGATATCCTAACCTGTATTAGAATACTGAATCAAGCGAGCAAAACTGTGTTATCAGGTGGTTGTTACAATAGATAAATACCACTTTTCTCCAGCTATTACTTTTCGTATTCCTCCCACAAACTTTATTTCCTATTTCAAGGGATTTCACGAATAAATACTACTTAAAAGATTGACAGCAGTATGATACAGGTGTTCACTACTACCATTATTTTCACTGGTTATCTGATTAACATTCCTTTGTGGCCGGATTTGATCCGAAAGTCAAGTGAGTTTGTTGAACCAGATCTATCTTAGATAATTTGGCCAATAATTTCGTAAAAATGATCAAACTATTGACTCGAAGCTCTACTTTTAGTTGCTAATTTCTTTCTCCCGTTCATTTTCCCTTTTTTCTCCAGGAGTTATGCTGTGTAAAAGAAGAATGTGCAGATCTTAAAGTCCGTGTATACTTACTTGAAAAAGAACTTTGTGCTAATCGTTTAACACTAGAAAGTCGTGCAGCCGCTGAACGTGCATTACGTGCTCATCTTGACGCCTTGATCATTGAACAACAACAACAACAACATTCTCAGCCAACAAATGATCAACAGAAGGACGGATCGACAATAGTGGTCTCATCATCATCAACAACAATAACAAATCAATCTATGGTAGGGATAAATCATCATGAAACAGCTTTATTACGAGGTCAAGTAAAGGTAATGCTTTCTTCTGATTTAATGTATATTTCATTGAAGTATAATGATTAATTTTACTAGATACTCTTGGCTATGCATGGGATTCTAACAGTTGATGCTCAGAAAATCCAATTTAAATTTTAGTCATGATTCTATTGTCATACTAAGGCTTTAGAAAATAAGCCATCTTGAACAGCATTTTTTTTAACAGACGAAACTGATAACTAGTTTGATAGCAAGATAGACAGATAAAAACCAACATATAACGTTTCACACAAGTGCATTCAGTTCAAGTTGCCACACTTCACAGTAGCATGCAAAGAATAAGTGGATAGGAAAGACTGATACCAAAGTAGATAAAGATACACTAGAGGAGAGAGAACTCAAAACGTAAGGTCAGTCAAAACATTCGAGCTTTAAACGATATTAAAGAATGAATACCTCTGCGCCATTGTGATAGGTTTTCAATAAGAACCTCCAACCAGTGATTTCTGTCATCTGTAGGGCTTCACTCGGATAAGACCAAAAGTCAAGGACTTCATGGACTGGCGCCGCGTCTTAGTTTGACCACCGTGACCCCTCTCCTAACTTGATCCAACTTCTCTTAGCATTGCGCGTCGAGATAGTCGGTGGCTCGGCATGGACAGTACGTGTAAAAAGCATCTCAGTTGATGAAGGTTCATTACCTTATCGACTGATTTGCCTTCCCTACCTAGTGTCTTTTGCCTAACCTTTAAATTGCTCACACGATGACTATACGCGACCAACGCTACGAAGACACCTGTAGTCTATTCATACCATCCAACTTCAATGGCCACGTCTCATAACCGGATAACAGGGTCAGATGGTCTGTAGCGCAGTCCGTGCAGTATCATCATCTTTACGTAAGTGGTCGGAGATCTCACCAGTCAGTCCGACAGATGACACAAGTTTGGAGACGCCAAAAAAGCTTTCTGTATCCCAGCTGACGTTTCCCCAGCAACCAGCCCGTTTAATGGGATTCATTTCCCCAACTTTACTTCTCATCTTCAAACCGGACATTACTGTAGATCAGTCCTGAAGCATCATCTTATATATGACAGGTACGAGACGCATGCTAAACATATTTAGATTTATGCCCAACGAGTCCAGGAGACACTCCAATTGTCAGAGTCTTCATTTAGCAGGAAAATGTCCTCTGCATACTCGAAGTCAGCCAGATGACCTTAAGGGAGTAGATTACTCCCTATCAAGTCAGACGTAACTAGGGTTTCATTCACTAGTACATCTATGACTCAGTTAAACAGCAACGATGACAATGGGAGTCTCTGGTGAACATCACCGGTTGTCGTCAGTTCTGATGACAACTCTACATGAGTCCCTACACGACTGCATAAGTTTGAGTAGACAGCTTTCATAATCAGTACTCCCTACGCAACCAGACACTGCCACAACACCTCATGGTCGATACAGTCAAGTGCCGCATTCTAATCAATGAATATGGTAAGCGACCAGTAAGTTTCAGAACCTGTCGAAGAGTGAAGATATGATCGATGCATCCTCATCAAGGTCTGATGAATGCCACCTTAGAAGCAAAATCCCTATAAACTTCAAACTACATAAAAGGCATTCGGATTATAAAACGTCCAAAGTGTAGGATAACCTGGTCTACTTCCCCCTTTACATACACACACACACACACACACTACATACAATGATCGTGTATATATAGTAATGTTGGCGAGCAAAAATATCATTCTGTTTGTTGACTTGTTGTTTTAAAATTTATATTAATTTTGTTCTCTTCATTGAGCTATTTATCAAGTAAGTTAGACAGTCGGATAGTTGGTTAGTTGACTTGACTAAAAAGTATATTTTACATATCACTTACTTTCATCGTCTTATTTTACACCAAACAGATCATGCAATTAGAATATGAATAACCTTATCTACGTGTATCTATCTGAAAAAAAAGGATAGAATTTTTTTTCTCCGTTATTGATTAATTTTGAATTGTTTGTAAAACTAAGATACTGGTTAAAGCCGAATGCCTAAACGAAATTTCTTTTTATGATGAAGGGATTACTTCTATTACCCTAATATTTATAAGTAAATAACTAGTCGACTCAAAGTCCTCTAAGTAGCACACTGTACATGCTGCTAACTCATCTCGGGTAATGAAATGGAATTTGAACAAAAACACTTGATAACCTAACACTTAAGATTTCGTGCCGATCTAATGAAATCTCATTACTGACAAATTATGATCCTCAGTTAATTCTCTATATGAAAACATATCGATTATTGCTATCAAACGAAATTGAATTATACCTCTGAAATATTGTTAGTCTGTAGCGCTCAACATATGAGTTCTAGTTATCTAGGTGAGAGTAACTAATCATTATGATTAACCCTCCCATTGTATATGCAGTTGGTGAGTGAATAGACATAGGAAACCGAGCCCTGTGATTCATTTCGTCTTTTCTTGTTTTTTATTCAGAATTAATGACTTCATGATGAGTCTTGAAACCTTTTGTAAGTAAATATTGTGAAACAGTTTCAGCTTACTGGACTGGGAACCCCTTGAGTAACTGTATGATTAGTATTATAAGTTGATAGAGGCAACAGATAACCATCCGGGTTGAATTTTCCAGTTAAAAAGTTTTTATTTATTTATCACCGGTTTCAGCACTATGCAATGTCATTGCTCATTCTCTACTCCAGTTCAAGTAGCCATGTTAAGGGCTTGTGGAGAGTCATCATCAGAAATGACGATAACTAGTGGTGTCCGCCAGGGATGTCCACTATCACCATTGCTGTTTAACTTTGTCATAGACTTACCAATGGATATGACCTTAGATACGTCTGACTTCACAGAAATTGACCTACTCCCTGAAGGTTATCTGGTTGAGTTGGAGCATAGAAACGACATCTTCCTACTAGATGAAGACACTGATGCAATGCAGTGTATTCTGAATGCGTTGAACAGAAATCTGAGTATCTTTGGTTTGTGTCTCGCACCTGTCAAATATAAGATAACGCTCCAAGGCTGGTTTTCTGCAAGTAATCCCAGTCTAATGATAGGGAGTGAAGTGGTGTAGTGTGTCAACCACTTCACCAACTTGGGGAGTTGCTTCGGTCCGAACAGGCTGGTCGCTGATGAAATCTCAGCCCGGATACAGAGGGTCTGTTTAGCATTTATGAACTTGCGTCATCCTTTACTCTCACTGGCGAGATATCCCACTACCTGTTGAAAGACGACTACACTGTGCTACAGTCCGTCCTGTCCTGTTGTACGTCTGTGAGACATGGTCGTTAGAAGTAGAAGACGTGAAACAGTTACAGGATTTTGATCACCGTGTGAGCAATGTCCAAGTTAGGCGAAGATTACTAGGCAGGTTGATTGATGAAATGGCTTGGACATGTACTGCACAAGCCGAGCCACCCCCCTATCACAAACTGCCATGCTGGTGGGAGAGTTGGATAATGTTAGAAGAGGGTTCAGGGTAGCCAGATCAAGGCCTGGTACCAGTCGATGAAGTTCCTGACTTTTGATGTCCCTGAGATTATAGGAATGAGTGGTTTAGGACTCTTGATGACATGGCTGAAAATTGGTCACAATGGCTCAGATGTGTTAACACCTTGACACCTTTTAGAGCTTGAATATTTGCACTAACCGTTATCTTTAATTTGTTTATTCTTGCATACAACTTTGTCTTCTTTGATATCAGTCTTTTTCTGCCCACTTGTTGATTGTATGCTGCTTGGAAGTATGGTGACTTGAGAAGATGCATTTCTGTGCGTGGTTGTACGCCGATTTTTCCTGTTTAATATCGTTGCTTTGTTTCACTAGGGTATCTTAAACATGAGACGGAATGTTTATGTTTATTCTTGCTCTTTGAGAAACTCTACAGTTAGTACTGATGTGTGTCACGAAAAGTACGTTCCTGTCCTAGAAATATTTTTATTCATTAATCTGAAGTTGTTGCCGCTCTAACAAGTAACACTTCCATCGATCTTGGTGACTAGGAAAAGAATCCATGACGCATGTTTCTTCCTATTCGGGACTCATCAGCTGGATGTACTTGCTTCCTAGTAAATGATCTTGTCCCTACTGAGGCTCGAATCCAGTATTCTTCGCCAAACGCGTTATCCACTAAGCCACTGAGGCACGATGGCCACCACCTATAACCCTTCCATAGTTTATTTCGTACCGATAATCAAGAAATCAATGGATTATTGATATTTTAAGTTGGTATTCATCATGGGCTAACATCAGTTGGAAAACCACTGAAAACTTGGAAGCACTGGACAGCTGTATCATCGTCCTTGCATTGAACTTTACCAGGGATCGAAGCAGGACCTTCAGATTTTGCGGCGATCATGTTATTATTAACTCGTTGGGTCGGAAATCGCTGGTTCACACTTTTTATTTCTGTTAATTCACAATAAAGTTCTGTGTTAATTAGTGACTGGCTTTGAGATGGAATTTCACGGAGTTCCAATGAGAAGTCGTGACTGCTAGGGCCAACCAAGTCGAATATGAGGACAACGACGACATTGGATAAAGGTCGCATTATATCATGAACTAATAGAAGTAGGAAATGTGGACCACTGGGTGCCGGCCCAGTGGCTCAGTGGTAACGTGCTGGCTATGGGGTCTGTAGGTCTTAGGTTTGATCACTGGGGTTATCCCATACTAGGACAAAACAGCTGTCCAGTGCTACCGTGTTACCTACTATGTGTTAAGACCTTACGACTAACCACATTGCCTCACCCCATCATATTCGAGTTACGGCACAAAGCCATCTGCAATAGAATACCTTCATTAATCGCATTACCACTGATATGTTAAAGCATCTTAGTAGGTAGGTTACCGGTTTTCGTGAAAGTACTGAGTTAAAACAGAATATTACATTCTGACACTTCTCAGAACATGCTGACGTAGGCACTCATGGAGAAAGGATAGTTATTCTTTTATGAAAGCCTGACTGTTACAGAAGTCCTCTCATCTTCGGACAACTTGAAACTCAGAGAACACAATGCAACCAAGACTATCCACCTAAGATACAAATATTCTCCACCATTTCAGAATATTAAATTGGCTAGTTTGTAACCATTGATTTGTTGCCATAATATATATTTGTGTATTTATTTCTATATAATAGCATGTTTGTTTTTTTTTTAAAAAAAAACCCTGTTTTTTACAACTATATAGAACTTATTACAAGCACTTGAAGCTCTTCGCAGTAGTACAGAGATACAACAAGTTCAAAGTGAGGAATTAGTTGATGATTTGAAACGTGCCAACAGTGCATTGATAACAGCATTTGAAAAGGCTAAACGTAAGTATATGACACGTATTAAAAAACTTGAAGATCAGTTAACGTCAATTCAAAAAATGTCATCTATATGCATCAACTCGTCTACTACTTGCACTAGTATCGATATTACTACTACATCTCATTCAAGTATACCAACAACAGCATATCATCATCATCATCAGATTGCTAGAACTACACTGAATCCTACTACAATGATCAATACTACGGCTATTTCAAGTATTAATGCTACACCACTTCTCGACACAACTGTTAATAACAGTGGGAATACTACTACTAAAGGATACACCAGAGATTATCATCATCAGCTGATAAATATGGCTGAAATATCAAATACAACAACTATGTTCAATGATGCAAATAACTTTAATTCTAATCATTCACAAGTCTATCCTATACAACCTATGAAAAGTGGTTTTGTATCATCATATCCGAATTCAACAATTAATTATAATCGTGATTTAACTTCTAACCCAATGTCACCAATACCACCACCTATGCAACAACAACAGCAGTCAAAACTGCAACAGACTAAACCACCAAATACTCCAAAGTGTAGAAGTGGTCAGCTGCTTCATAGTCAACAATCGATTACTGTTCATCCTTCTTCTTCTACTACTACTACTACTACTACTACACCAAGCAATACTTTATCACAATTTATAAATTCGAAAAATTTACCTCCGCATCCAAAATGAAATATTACATTATATTCTATAAAATTTTTTATAATCTTCAGTATTATTGATAATTTTGCGCATTGAACATTGAAGAGCACAATTCAATGTGTCAATAGTGTTTACACTTTCACTGTATAGGTTATATGTATTTATCACTCAAAAAAAAGGGTTGCATTTCTTTTACCGCCTTCTTTCTCTCTCTCTCTCTCTCTCTGTCCCTCTCTGTGACACTAGATCATGGAAATGTATTTGCACACATTCAAAACAAAAATATTCTCTTTTCTATGTGAATATTTTATGTGCACACTCAGATGATTTTTTTCTTGAGATGTAGGTCATTTCTCTCCCTTCTTTTCCTTTTCAGAATGAATCGTTAATATTTTACTGTAATCTATCCATATGTGTCTTGAAGTTTTATAGAAAAGATTATTTCAGAATTGGCTAGGAAAAACTGAAGCATTTCACAATTCACTGATATATATATATATATATATATATATATATATATATATATATATACAAATTGACATTGTTTGATGACTTTAGTTGTGTATATGAAGTACTCTCCGCTTTTTGCATGACTTTTTTCTCATTCATATGCGAAATGTGATGTTGACTGCTGAAAATATTTCATTTTATCTTTCTTTCTACTCGACTACTGATGTAATTTATTAGTAGTAGTAGTAGTAGTATTACCATTGTTGATTTACAAGATGGTGTCATTATGCCTTTCTTTTTATCGATTTACACTAGAGTTGCCTTTTTCTTCATAGGTTGTCAATAATAGATAACCTCTTCCAGCTATCGTTCTGGAAATTAAAATGCATGTTACACGGTACTTTACACATTGACACACTTTGAATTCTCTTCTATGACTAATACTACTATCACTTCTATTGATCACACCGGTGTCATTAGACGCCTACTTTCTGATATATTTATGATCATGGAGAACAAATCAAAAATTTGTAAAAAAAAAAATATTCTTGTTTTCCTTACTGAATAAATCAATATCATCTATTCATTCTGCATTAAAAGTGTACAAATATCATTGTATTAAAAAAAATGATGATAACTTCTTCATCAGCAGAATGCTAATGAATTGAAAGTTAACTTCAATCACTTTTCTCCTTCATCTTTTACACTTTTATTTTCCATGAGAGATTAATTTTTAACTTATACCTATATCATGTTCTTTCGTTTGATTCTTTTTTTAGCATGCATATACTACTTATTTACTTACTTTAATTTGATCATACATAAATATAAATGTCATGCATCGAAAACGCATTTGGCATGCATATATATATATATATATATATATATATATATATATATATAATCTATCTGTAAATTTCCTTATCATTTAATAAAAGTATTTACTATGAATAAGAAAATAAGACAAAGTTTACAGATATATACTATATACTCTAGGTTCTAAGGACTTGACTTTTCATTGAACTCAAACCTATGCATTACTATATGCATACAAAACTTGTTGTATTCATAACATTTCATAATATCGACCAAGAGTAATATAATTAATCATTATTGACTTGTTTACACCATTACTGATCTCACTTTCATTATGATTAGCGCTGTTGTTTTTTTATTCTTAAATGGCTAAAAAATTTATTATTACTTAATACAACTAGAAGACTTGGATTTCGTCGATGACTTGTGCCTGATGTCTCATAAACTTGAAGATCTACAGGCGAAAACTAACAAGTTGATAGAAGAGGCAGCGAAGATGGGACTTCAAATGAATATAGAGAAGACAGAGGCAATAAAGATACCGCACCACCGACAACAACAACAAACTCCAATCACCATCAACGGGAGAAACTTAAAGGAAGTAACCTCCTTCACCGATCTAGGAAGCACTGTTTCAACTACAGGCGACACAGGCACAGACGAGGACGTCAAAGCCAGCCAGGATCGGAAAAGCAAGACAGGCGTTCATTAGCCTGAAACCAGTGTGGAGATCTTCTGCACTCCACTCAGCATGTGGAACAAGATACGGATTTTCAACACCAACGTCAAGTCAGTGCTTCTGTATGGTTCAGAGACTTGGCGCGTCACGAAAGTGATTTCCAACGAACTACAGACATTCATCAACAACTGCCTACGCTGGCTCGCTACTGAAGATCAGATGGCCAGAAAGAATAAGCAACAAGGAGCTCTGGGAACGAACCAACCAACAACCTATCGCTCAACAAATATGCAGGAGAAAGTGGAGATGGATTGGGCATACACTGAGAAGGCCGACTGAGGACATCACGCGTCAGGCCAGTTGCTCGAGTGGAATCCCCATGGGAAGCGACGAGTTGGACGTCCGAGGGTGACATGGAGGAGGTCGTGCGAGGAAGAAATGAGAGCTTCTGGGCTGTCGTGGAACCAGGTTCAAAAGATCTCAGAGGACAGAGGTCACTGGAGACGTGCTACTGAAGCCCTATGTTCCACTAGGAACCCAAGGGACTAATAATAATAATACAACTAAATTGTTGAGTAAACAATATGGGAACATTGATGACGATGAAATGACTGATAGAACACTTTGTAGACAATTATTCTGATATTTAATAACTAGAACATAAGATAACTGAACCCTCAGTAATGAAGTATATTACTCAGTATAATGAACGAAAGGTTTTTTTCACTAATGGCAAGACTTAAAGCAAATGATTTATACTATGATGACGGTTGAAATATGAAGTTGTATTACTGGGAGTATAACACATGGTAGAAGTAGGATGCTTCCCATGGATAAACAGCTGGATATAATCATAGCGGAACATCTTGTAGAAGTGCATCCGTTGTTCAAGATGTAAAAAAAAATGACTGTATAGAAAAAAAGTGATACCATAGTAGACAAAAGTGTGAGGGGAAAAGGAATGGAATTTGAAAATTGACGTTAATGAAAAAGGTTAAACCTCGAAGACTTCAAAGATCGAGTTACATCTGTGCTATTGTGATCGATATTCAGGGTCTTGAGGACCTCAAAAACGTCAGTTCTTGTACAGCTTAAATCAGTCAAAAACTTCATCGACTGACTCCACGTCTTGATTTGGCTACCTTCCAATCCTATCCTAATTCGGTTACCATTGTAAACCGGGATAGGCAGTAGGTCAGTCCAAGCCATGTCAGTCGGCAAAGGTTCACTACCTTATCGACTAACTTGCCTGTTTTGTCTAGAAAATTTTACTTAACCCCTCACACGGTGGCTTCAACATACATAAGCCATGCTGTAAAGATACGTGTAGTCCAAAACTTGAAACCCCTAAATAGTTACTTTCAGTAGTCATGTCTAACACCTATGTACTAGGACAGAGAGGACTGAAGTGTAGTATTCTCATTCTTGAATACAAAGTCGAATATCTTGCAGTGCTATAAATGATGTTAGTCGGTGAATATCAAATAGGTCTTTGAATCCAAGTTGAGATTTCTTCAGTAACCAACACATTTGAGTTGATGCAACTTCCTTAGTAAGCTAAGTGGTCAATTCATTCTACTATTTCACTTACTGTCCTCAAATTAGGAGTCGTTGCAGACCAGTCCTGGAGCATAATCTTACATTTGACAGATGCAAAATGTATACCAAATTTAGACAGATACCTTCTTAATGTGTTCAGAAGACCTTGCATTTTGTTAGTGTCTTCACTTGTCAGGAAAATATGTTTCACCTACTCTAAGTCAACTAGGTGCCGTCCGCGGAGTAGGTAGATCCCTAAGATGTTGGGAGTAGATAAGATTGTTTCCAGTGGTAAATCTAGGATGCTGCTGAATAGGAATGGCAAAAGTAGACATCCTTGGAGAATACTGGTGGATGATGTCACCTCAAACCTAGTCTCTCTCTACATTAGTCCATGAGTTTTAGCAAAAAGCCATGACTAACATAATACACTTCAAAGGTACTTCCTTCACAGTCACACACTGCTGCAATATCTCTAGGTCGAAAGAGTTGAATTATCACCTTCAGGTCAAAAACATCGCCAGAGTCGGCCGCTGGTAAGTATACCTATGGTCCGTAACCCGATGAAGGGTGAAGGTTTGACTATGCACCTTCATACATATCTCAAATTTCTTGACTTCTCTCCTTTATAAACTAGAATGATCAGTGCTCTAAACTAGTCTGATGGAACTACCTTTAATAACAATGCTCAATAATTTTCCAACTTTATCCTGAAAACCTTTCAGCGAAGAATCGTCATCGCCTCCTGTTTTGTGTCGTTTTAGATTTGAAACAACCTTTCCAATGTCAGTGATAGATGAAGGATCGATATCTACAGGCTATTTAGTTTCGTACTGGATGTGAGGCAACTAAAATTTGTATATAGATTAGATGAACCGTTCTTTAAAGTGTCCCATTCAGCATTCTAGCCATCTAGCCTTAGAATTCGCCTTAGTAGTCTCACTAAAGATTGTTTTATTCTTGCCTATTTCATCGTTAAGTCGAAAAAATTAACTGTACCTTCGTCATCTCTTTCGAAAACCACTAATGAACTTTTTGGACAGAAATCTGAGTGCTTGGCACTTAGATTACACTTAGCATATGTAAGATGATACTCTAGGACTGGTCTGTTGCACTTGCTCCCATTTTAAGGACAGAGAGGGAAGTGGTAGGATACGTTGATCGCTTCACTCACTTCGGGGAGCTGCATCAACTCGAACGGGTTGGCCGATACAAAGGCATGTTTATTATTCACTAATATGCATCATCTCTGACACCGACGAGATTTTTGACTGTCTGCTAAAATATGAGTATATTGTGGAGGCGATTGATCATAGATGTCTTATCTTAGTAACCGTATTCGGTAGGATCACTGCGTGAGCAATGTTGAGGTTATATATATTCAGAGTAGTAGAAAAGAAATGTAAGTCAGTCGATGACTTTGCAAATATTCACTGACTGAGATGGTGAGGACATGTATTGCATATGCCAAGCCACCAATTTCACCAGTCCAATGTGGTTTATGACTTTCAATGTCAGTCATGTAAATAGGTGTCTAAGTCAAGTCGTTCAGGTGACATGAACTAACGGTTGAAGACTTTCCCTGAAGCAAATGTATGCATTCTTTGTCATTTTAAATGTCTTAAATGCTTGCATCAATCTTCACCTGTCCAGTCTCATGTCAGTCACTTTTGTCGACTTACATTTCATTCACCTGCTTACTGGTCGTTCTTTGTGTACATCTGTTATGCGGTAACTTGAAGTGATTGAGATACTTCTGCATCAGATTCTACGTCAATCTCTCCGTTTGTTTACAGATACTTAATATGCTACTGAATCATTTTAAAGATGGGAATTGTACTTCATTTTAATGATCGTATCTTTGTTGTTTCATTCAAATATTTTTTCCATTTTCACTTTTAAGTTATTTCTGAAGAAACAATCTAGTATAGTATCTTTCTGAACGCATTGATACATGAACATTGAACTTAAGTTGAGGTCCAGTCGAGTGTTCCGTTAGACTGATGTTAACCTTCCTCTTTTCACGTGCAAGTCAGACAACTAACTAAAAAGAAAAATGGAGAGAAGAATGAGACTGAGATAATGTATGGATAATCACCTTGATAAACTAGTTTACTTTTATGCTATATAGCATTGATAGGAATATGTTTAAGCAGCACCTAGTATGCCTTCTTCGGAGGAGTAAACGATTAGCTGACCAGAGAGACAGGGCAATATAAAAAGCAAAACGATGAAGCAAAAAAATGAGTGGAGTTAGGAGAAGAACACGAATAATTTTTGCAAGAAGGACATCCACTATACGTTTGTGATGTTTTATCATTACTGTGCATCGGGCTGGTTGCTAACCTAACCCTTAGCCCAGATACAGAAGGCCCGTTTGGCATTTGCAAACTTGCATCATCTAAGGCACCGGTTGGCGAGATGTCCCACTGACTATCTATCAAAGGAAGAGTATACTGCGCTATAGTCCGTTCTGTCCTGTTATACGGCTGCGAAATATGACCGTTGAAAGTAGAAAACATGAAACAGTTAAAAATTTTTAATCACACTGATCACGTTTGGCGGAATCATTGTATAAGCAATGCTGAGGTCAAGCAACGGATACAAGGCAAGATAAGCAAGTTGATTAATAAGGTTGTGAACCTTAGTGGGGAAACAACACTCATTGAATTGCAGGTATATTTAGCTGAGCAGTCCTAGATAGAACGAAACGCTAGCTACTATCTATCCATCAGTAATAAGAGAATACCGCAAATATTGAGGCCCATGTTCCAATCATTTTGGTTCAGTCAATGGCGAAGATTCACAAGCTATAGCATCAAAAACAATATTCATAGCATTCTATCGACTGTGATATGGTTCAACGATGTATGCTGTTTCATTGAATACAAACTGAAACCTATCACCTAGGAGGAGCAACTCAGTTTGAATCGATTTCATTCGATTAAATATATGTTAAGTAAGAAAACAAAAAAGAAATCATCAACAAACTTAATAAATCTACTAGTATACCACTGTAATACTATTCCACTTTCATCTACACTACTTTTTTTTTAAAATGAATATTTGTCAGGTTTTACGGCGGTTTCCTTCATTGTTTTCTTTTAGATTCCTTAATGTTCCACATGTATTCGTTGTGTACACATGGATGCGCTTAAACCCATGTTGGTAGACTTCCTAAAGTGGTGCAGAAGAAAAAAAAAGGCGAAAATGAATAATGTAGATAACTCCATCACACATAAGAGTTGATTGTTATAGAATGTTTACTTATTCAACTGTGAAATACTTCATGAATTTGATGGACAGTCAATGAAGGTGGACCGGACTAAGATATTCGACTTCAGAGTTGAACACCTACAACAAAAAACTATTAGTACCTCTATATACAATTATTATATCAGTGTTAGTTGGATAGAGGGACCTTACAGGATGCCTTGCTTCACCTGGGTTTCGTGCATTTTGGTACTCGTCAGCAAGGTGTATCTGTAACCTCATTTGAAGTTCAAACCCGAATCATTTAGTATTACAGTCAGAGACGTTAATACTGAGCTGTTCGAGTGGCAGTTGACTTCCTGTAGGACTGAGTTAGGCGCACTGATTAGTTACTGCAGGGTAACCAACTTCATATAGTCTGTTGTTCAGAAATAACTCAAGCATCTGAGTATAACCTTCATTCCTTCTCACTTCCTCTCTTTCCTTAACTTTGCTATACATATGCTTATGTAGTTGCCTCTATCTTTGCATTTCGCATGAAGAGAGATTGATATAGTTGTAGGGAACTCCTTAGTCAACTTACAGTACCCAAATAACGTAGTCCTACTGGACCAAGATACTGACAAGATGCAAAATCTTTTGGACACTATAAGTGGCAACTTAGGAATTTTTAGGATATAATCAAATGATCAAGAATCGAGTTTTTCATTTTCCTTTGGACAGTTATGCCGCCTAGCGTTCGGGATGCGTTTGGAGAGAACACGCTTTGTGAGATATATGCAACCAGCTTCATATGTGTTCACCAGTTCACCTACTTTTGTGGAGCTGGTTACATAGACCGCAGAAAGCATGGTCTAATTAAAGATATCTTCAAACATTATCCTGCATGGCTGTGTAAAAGGCAGTGTAAAGCATTTGTTTAACTCTGGTTACTTTGCTCTACGAGAATCTTCTTTCAAAATTTTCGGGATATGTTTCTCGCCACCTAAATGCAAATCATTGTTTCAAGACTGGTCGTTGTTGATGTCTGATTTGAAAATAGTGAGCGAGGTGGTTGAGCATGTTGACCACTTCACTTATTTGAAAAGTCTGAGAAGCTCCAATGGATAAACTACCAATAAAATCTCGGCACAGACTAAAAAGGCTTGACTGTCTATACGATCTAACACCATCTTTGGTTCGAGTAAGGTACCCAGTTGCCCACTAAGAGTCTAGTGTACTGCGCATCAGTACAGCTTTTTCTACTCTATGACTGAGATACATGACCACCAAAGATAGAGGTAGGTTTTCGATTGGTATTGTCATTGTGGTGGCGATCACTTGTCGGAAAACCACAACTTGAAAAGTGTGGAAACTTTGTCTAGAGTCTCTGGTTGGATAGGTAAGATTGCAAATCCTCATGGGCTGCGATTACTGCGTAATGTAACCCATTACATATCACTGTCTAATCTGACGTGCAATGTAAGGCTATACTGGAAGAAACTCTTTGTTGACTAGATCAAGATGTAGTGCCAATCTGAAAAGATTCTGACTGTTAGTCTTGAGGATGTATAGAAATGTGGCCTCCCTCATTTAGATGCACATGGCAACTAAGACCGATGATTGTACACTCCAGCAGGTGATATGGCTTTGAATCACTTGTGATGGTACAGATACCTTCACAATTAATCTTCATCCTAACCACTGTGTACTGTCACGCACGTAGAAAGTGTAGCAACGTCCACCATTGCTCAGTACTTCCAGATCCCAATCCGATAAGAAGTGAATATCTGATGTACGAAAAACGGAGATTTTTGTATGGTTTCTCCCCAAGGTTCACCCTTCTTTCGTAAAAAGAGTGATGAAGTTGTCTTCACTACAAACATTCTTACAGAATGACATCAAAAACCTGAAGTGAAAATATTTAGTCATCATAACCACTTAACTTCTTTTGTGTTAACCATAATAAGTTAGTGACCAAATAAAGATTCTATTGATTTTAAACGTGCATACAAGCGATACACGCTAAAATAGTACTGCGATTGGACTGTCGAACCAGCTGCTCTGATACTCCATGTGTTGCATCATTTTATTACTTTTAAACTACGATAACTGACTGTGCTATGTAGTAGTGCTTTGGTAAAATGTCATCTCTCTCAGTCAGTATTTAGATGTGAGCTTTGAATTAAAAGATCTTTAATATGGCTCTATACGACCTAAAGAACGATGCCTAAAAGTCGTACCTATCCAGTGTTGGTCTTCTATCACCCAACCCCTCCCTCACCTTAATTTCCCTACCGATAACGGATAATTTAAAGTTTTCTGACCCACGAACAGTTTTCAGTAAGACGGAATAGTTTGCATCTGTGAAAATTTGACTAAGTAATATAACATTACTTTTCTTGATATTATAGCTTGTGTACATCTCTGTCGCTGATAGGACCGAATCGATCGGCCACTATTGGTGTGTAAGCTTCTATTCGGGTGCCTTGATATTGCTGGTTTTTTTCAAATTTCGTAGTAATGAAGGAGAGTGGTTAGCAGTAGTAGATCCAGGAAGCGCATTTGTTCCTATTTGCTGCACAGAACCCCATATTATAATAGGGGCTGATCAATTTGGTCCAATCAACGATAGAGATGTACACAAACTATAAAATCAAGGCAAACGTGCTATACCCGTCACACAGGTAGCCGCTATCGTGACTCAGTAGCCTAGTGGATAACATGATTGGTCTTGGGTTCGAGTACTAGTGGGGTTAACACCACTCATTATGAGGCAGGTACATCTAGTTGACGGGTCCCAGATAGGATGAAATGCCCGTACTGAATCCACTGCTAGCAACTACTCATCATAAATATAGCATTGGTTTAGGAGGTTAAATAGATTATGCAAAACATGTTAATTGGTCAAACAGATTCAAAATTGATACAATTCTTGAAGAGATATAGTTATATCATAACACAGTTTGGTGTTGTCAAAAGTAGTGTAGAAATCTTCAGTTCTTACATCATCTCATAGGATTCGAGAATATGTTAGCTTTCATTAACGACTGTTAGTTACAACCACTAATTAAGGAAACTGTCTCGGAAACAAAATCTGACAGTTAAAGAGCTGTTACCGCAAAGGAGTTGGTGATTAACTCTCACAGCATGACAATAGGAAAATAAAGGCGATATTAATATAGGAGTTTTAGCTTACAATAGAATCTAAGATACATATTTTGTCCTCTGTGAGACTCATCAGCTTAGGTTCACTTACTTCTTAATGAGTTATGATGTTTCCAATGAAACTTGAAACCAGTACTGATTGCTTTAAACTCAAGAACGTTATCCATCAGTCTACTGAATCACAAGGACCGCCTTTTGTGTAACAGGTATCATATGATATCTGTTAATGCTACCTAAGCACTAAGTAAAAGTAAGATAAAAGTGGAAATTGAAGCAATATTCAGGTATCTGTTCAAACAGCCCATGTACTAGGGAAGAGATCAATCGATTCGGTACAGTATAGCAACTAACTAGAAGTTACAAGCATCAAAAAATACTAAATGAAGGTAATAGTTAGAAAAACAGCTTCTTTCGATCTCGATAGTCGAGGAACTACAAACCTCCACTTACGTTCCCAGTATGATTTAAAAGACCTCAGTAAATAACAAATATGCCAGTAACACCAAAAAGTGGTCAATGTGACCCAGTTGATTAGTAAATAAAGCTTAGACCTTGTCTAGAATATGAACACATAGATCTAGAGAGAGGTCTGGTCGAAGTGTCTAGAGTAAAACCAAACAAGTGGCATAGATTTCACTGCTAGCCACCAACAAATAATGTTTTGGTAAATTTCAGTTTATATTTGTTTACTAATATAACAACTTTGGCATTCTTTTTTCGTGAACGTTATATCAATCATTATGCCAGGTAGCCTTATCAAAACTTGAGTTTTGGAGAAATTGTTTGGAAGGATCAATCTGTATGATACTTCATGTAGCAAACCTCAAAATAATATATCACAGTCACTTAAGTGTGAAGGATAAGTTGCCAAGATTGATCAGTTCAATGTATGTTTATCAATTCATTTGTTTCTAAGGAGCTAGATTTGTAAAACGTTCGTCTAAACTTATCTTTAATTGCATTTGAGAACATCTTCCAGTTTGAGTGAATAAGGGGAAAAATAACATCAATTAACTCATCTGGTAGTTTGCCATATTTGGTCGATACTGAACATGCATATACCCTATTCATATTCCATTAAATTAATGAATAATACTGACTTGATAGACTTAGTTGGTGAAGTCAAAGATTTACAAAAGTTAGTTGGTTCATATTAAGAGTAAAACTGAGTTATTGAAGTCATACAGTTGTATGTATATATCAACTTACCAGAAAATTTCAACGACTTCCACCTTTGATGATTCTGTTGCATAATCATTTGGATAACTTGTTTTATCCTGTAAGGTAATGAAAACAGCATAATAAGATGATAAGAGGAGATAAAGCTCTAGAGTGTTAGTCTTCCTAATTGATATAAAAATGTTTATTTAAAAGTAGAGTCGACTGTAGGCATTATTAATATCATACGTATTGTTGAAAATGTCAATCTATTCAGTGACCAATCAGTAAGTGAAACGATATTGATTCCTTATTTTTATCTTAACACCTTGATAAAAAATTGGTAATAAGCTCATTAATGATAGTGTATAAATGGGAGCCGAGCTGGTGAGGGAAACTGATGCATAACAATGCGTAGGAAACCTAGGTAATAAACTTTCTTATTGTTCAGTACCAGACTGAATGTTGTATAGTGTCGAGTAAGCAAGTTTCATAGCTTTGTAGTTATCTTGATGGCTAGCAGTGGAATCCAGGACATACGTTTCGTCCTATTCGGGATTCGTCAGCTAGATATACCTGCACTCCAGTAAGCAACGTTGACTTTACTGTGACTTGAACTCAGTAGCCATCGCTTTAAACTCCAAAGAGTTATCCACTAGGCCATCGGAGCAAGATAGTCACTTCCTATGTGACGGGTACCAATTGTCATTTATCGATATTTGTAATTCCCCGTTGTTATAGTAGGTTGAATTGCTCGAAAAGAAACTCGCGTCCTGGATTCCATTGGTAGTCACCAAGATGACTACAATATAATGAATATCTAGGCATTACCAAAGCATCGGCATAGGAGGTGATCTGCCAACAGAGGTCTGGCAATTCTAACCAGGGAAGCAAGGGTAAATTACAAGTATCAATACACAACAACCATCACAAGTGGTACCCACTGCAAAAATGGTCGCTCTCGTGCCCGAGTGGCCTAGTGTGTGGTACTTTGACATGTAGAGCTATGGGCACTCGGTTTGAGTCCTAGTGGGAACAGCATCACTACCTGGGGAGCAAGTACCTCCATTTGATGAATGTCAAGTAGGAAGAAATAAGCGTATTTGATTTCACTGCTAGTCACCAAGAAGACTACACCATAATGAAACAATAAATTTCTTAGATGTAAGAGTAGAACTTGGGTACTGTGGTGGAGTATAACTCCATATTAGAGTGCTTATTTGATATATCACAAAGTGAGTGGTACAGTATTATTTGCCGGATTACGCTTCGAGCAGAATATGTTGCTCATATCCATATCAAAGTAATCATACGACTTTCAAAGTTCCTTTATATATTTCAACAGTTCATTCGTTTTCAGACATTGAAAATACGTGACAAATCATTCATGTTACATGTGTTAGTTGGTTGGAGGTAAACGGTAGGAAACCCTTCACCACCTATGTTTCATGCTTGTTGACACTCGCTAGTAAGGCATATCTATCGGCAACCTCGAGGGGACCGATTTGCCCTGTGACCTTTAAACCCGCGTCACCCACTTCTGTTGAGGCTGCAGATACGCCTTACTGACGAGTGCCAACAAGCACAGAACCTATGTCTAAGGCTTCCTGTCAATTGCTTCTGACTAAATAACCTCCACTGTAGTGCACCGTGATGATTGACCATCTTTCTAGCTTGGTGGTCACATTGCAAAAGTGATTGATAGAATTCAGTCAGCATTTAGGACTAGACAGTATGAAATTGGTTGTTTTCCAACAACCAATCAATGTATGTTACATGTGTGTTAGGTGTTGATTAGATGAACATAGATTCGGTGATCGATCTCCCCCCCCCCCGCTTAGTTAGTATTGTCACCCTATCCCACCCACCCTATAGTGTGATTATTAGTCAGGGCATGCAGAGCGATATCTGGGTTTTTGTCTCAATTAATAATGGACAGAAAAACTATGAAATAAAGAGAAAAAATTTAGAGATAATGATTCATTATGGTAATTTACTTGGTCATGGCTAGCAGAAGAATCTAAGGCTCGCATTTCTTCCCATCTGGAACTCGTCAGCTGGATGTACCTGCACCCCAATGAGTGATTTTGTTTCCACTCAGACTCAAACCCCGTACTCACTGCTTCAAACGCCAAGTATTAGTTACAACTTTTTATTGATTTACTTATAATTCTCTGTGGTTCTACTGGATCGAAGTGTTCAACCTCAGTTGGTACGACCAAGTAAATTACCGGAATAAATATTCAGGTAGTATCTGGGCATACGCATAGGAGCCTGTATGCTAACAGAGGTCGAACAATTCGACCCAGTAAAATAATGGAGAAATAAAAGTACATTAACAAAAAGTTACATTAATTCATTCATATACACCTATCTGGGACATGGATGTGTGTATGTTCGTTTATTTACTAAGGGTCAAATAATCATTGTGTAGCTGACTTATATTCAAGTAGGTTTAGAAAATCATTCAAATACTATAACAAAATAACGAACAACAAATGTGAAGTGTTGTGTAACGGTTGAAAATGGCTACCGGTACTGATATGAATAAACAAGGGTATAAACGAATAACATAAGAAAATGAATGTTTATCAATGTAACGACAATGTAGAATGAAGGTATGGGAAGTGTGTCGACCCTATTGTGGGCCAAGGTAAACAAAATAGATCCACATGTTTCTTTTGAAGCTAGATCAGACTTTCTTGCGTTGATACCTATGGCTTCGGCTATGAATAAGATACGTAGTAGTACATCTTTCCGGGAGATTGCAAAGGACACGATATATCACAGAAAAAGTGTGATCTACATTGATTTGATGTCCGGTATCAATTATATGTGAGAGGACTGCCCTCTGTCATTCTTTTCCTTGACCAAGGTGGTACATGTTCACTAGGGCGCATGGATACAGCCTATGCAACTAGTTCCACAGGAAAAGTTGAGTACATGAATGCACACTAAAGTCACTATCATTGGTAACTTGTTCTTGGTTCTCTGTGTCAGTAATGGTTTGGTTGAGAAGCGTTTCGCTGCAGTGAATATCCTTTCAACTGATCTACTTAATCGACATTTTAGGATATCAGAGTCAATGTCACCTTTGAAACGTAGTCTAGGATACATAAACTTGTTAACAACATTATCTTTCTTTATCTTCTCTCTAGGTTTCTACATGTATTTATATATGAAGTTTAATAGATAACCGTTTTCCGCAACGTCATCTTCAGCTTATTCTTTTCTTCTTCAATATAATCACCAGAAGATATTTTTCTTATTCTATAACTCAGGTATTTGACCAGGTTTCTTTCATACTGAATTGGCATGAAGCTATGAAAGTGTTCTTTCGAAAAATACTCCTCTTAATATATCCATCCGTTTGTCTGGTGAGGAGGACATCTAGGAAATTAGTACCACTATTGAAGGTATTCAAAAGATCTTCTTTATTCCAATCATTGGTACAAATGGTGAACGTATCATCTACATACTGAACATAATAGTCTAGTTTGTCAAATGTGTCCTTAAGTGATCTGTTTCCAAGATATCTGCTAGCATAGGACCCAGAGGAGAGCCCATTGCAACCCCATCTACTTGTCTATGGAATGTGTTATTAAACATAAAATGAACATTCATGGTACATTTTAGTAGCGATTCCTTAACTCTTTCAGAGTGGGATTCCCACGTCTATTTGCCACTTCTGATTTGCCTTAAATGTAGTTGACTGTTTCTATTCTTGTTCTGAATAATCTATGGAGATCTTTAAACTACTAAATTACTTATCTTAGTAAGGTCTACCATTGTGCTTCGTGGAATTTTACCTGGCCCTGACTGACTCCTTTGACGTGAAGTATATAGTGTTGCGAATTTATACACCTCAAATGAACCGAAAGTGGTTAAAGATAAAACAACTCTTCTCCTCATCAATGATATACACCTCTCAGAACACGCACAACTTCAATGTTCAAGTCCAATGGAATTAATTAATTCATGCCTCACAATGTACTTTCAATTTAATGGCAAACTCTACAAACAGACAGAAGGAACATCAATGGGACCGCGAAAATCAGGACTAATTGCAGAAGCTGTAATGCAAAGACTGGAAATTGTGGTACTGCAATTGATCCAACCAAAACTTTTGTTCCGACATGTAAATGACATATTTGTGATCATTGATAGAAACGAACTGGAAAACGCTTATAAATTAATCAGAAACATTGTCGACGATATTGAATTCACAACTGAAGAGGAATTAAACAAAAAACTTACATTTTTAGATATCCTGACTATTAGAACGAATTCAAGAAAATTGGAAACTGAAATGTACAGAAAGTCAACTAATACAAATCAAATCCTCGACTGCAACAGTAACAACGCAATAGCACAGAAAATCAGTTGCATAAAAGAGCGAAGATGAACTGTAGAACATCAACTTTACGGAGGAAAGAAGAAAGCTATCCAGCGATTGTTTTCTAGAAGAACGCCTATCCACTCAACTCTACCAAAATATGTTTGTCAAATTTGCCATCCACCAAAAATTCATCTTTGGAGACGCTATATGAAAAACATCTCCGAGACTGCAACTAGATTACTGAAGCCTTTTGAAATCTCCTCGGCTAACAACTCTACAATATATCTTCACTGTCTGTTATGCAGGTGAAAATATACAATAACGAAGAAAGACAAGCCAAACGTTATCTACAAAATAAACTGTAGAAACTGAGAAAAACACTACATCGAACATAGTGATGGCCTTCTACTTATACAATTTAATAATTCCCGTTGTAACATCAAGAACAAGATATTCAGAAAAAAAACTGTTTTCAACGAAATTATTTTTAAGCTGTAAATTCGTATATGTATACTATTTGAAAAACTATATCCCATGAGGAAAACTAAACACTATATAATCATGCTGACAATAACAATAAAATAGATGATGACATACGTATCTGTAACTATGATAACAAAGTAGATGACATGATATATGAAATGGTTCATAGAGGGTGTATAACTCAGAAAGGGGTAAAAAAAAATTCATGAAAGTGGTAAATCAATTAGGTATTATTTAGTAATGACTGTATATACTTCTTTTGTACACACAGATCAGGCTTTAGTTCATGAATAGCTAAAGGAGTTGAAAACGCAGAAAACATGGGAGTTTTGGGTGAATTTGATATATAAATTTTAAAATCATTCTCTATGTTTGTTGAGTGATGGAAATCAATCAAATTTCCTAGAATAGAGCTTCTAACTGACTTTCTTTCACCTTTATAAAATAAAGCTGAAATATACTCCTGTATACGTGTAGAAAGCATTCTCTGGTTACAGATGGTGTACCTTGCTCGATAAAAGCAGGTGAACTTGTAGATGCACATAGAAGTAAGTACAGTAATTGTTTTTACCATTGTCATAACATTTTCCCACCCATATTAGTTTGCCCTCCCTTTTGTTAATTTAACTTTTATATCCTTCCTTTATCACTATTATTTGTATTATAATTACCTTCAGTTTGATTGGTTTCCGGTGTTATTTAACTTAATTGTTTTAATCTCTTAAGAAAACACTGATTTCATCTTGACCAACTTGCCTAATATCATTACATAATACTTAATTGGTTCAACGCTTTCATCAATTTTTCCACCTGTTTCTCAGTTATATACCTTCTATTAACTGTTTCGCAACAGGAGCAAGTGGAATCCCGCCAGAAGCACTGAAAACAGACACAGAGACAACAGTGGACATTCTCACACCACTATTGCAGAAGGTCTGGAAGGAAGGGAAGGTACCTGCAGATTGGAAGAAAGGCTACCCTGTGAAACTCCCAAACAAGAGTGACCTAAGTCTTTGCAAGAACTGGTGAGGAATAATGCTCCACGCCTGTCCACACCAAGCGAAATATTATGCTCCATCATCCTGGAGAGACTAAAGTATGTGCTGGATTCAAAACTACAACCAAATCAGGCCGGCTGGCTGACTTCAGGAAGAACAAATCATGTGCGGACCACATTGAAACGCTTCGCATCATCCTAGAACAGAGCATAGAATGAGAGTCAACTCTTTACCTTACCTCAACTTCATGGATTTTGAGAAGGCCTTCGACGGCGTCGACCGACAAGTATTTTGGAATTTGCTTCAACACTAGGGAATACCACACACCTTTATCAACCTCATTCAACAGCTGTATGACGACGCGACAGGCCAAGTGATTTACAATGGAGGGATCAGTGACGTCTTTGAAGTGAAGTGAAGATAAGAGTAAGACAAGGCTGCCGCTTACTATCACCGATCATCTTCCTGATTGTGGTCGACTGAACTGGACTGAACTGGAATGGACCATGTAGCAAACCGTGAGGAACGAGAAGATGAGCATACGCTGATTGACCGATGAAAAGACCCTAGAAGATTTGGATTTCACCAACAATGATGATTTACGTTTCATGTCTTGTCCCATAAACTCGAAGATCTACAGGCAAAAACCAACAAGTTGACAGAAAAGGCGAGGCAGCGAAAACGGGACTTCAACTGAACATAGAGAAGATAGAGGTAGAGGTGATGAAGATACCCAACCAACAACAACAACAGGCACCAATCACCATGAACAGAAGAAACCTAAAGAAAGTAGTCTCTTTCACCTACCTACCTGCCAGGCAGCATCGTTTCAACTACACGCGGCACAGACGAGGATGTCAAAACCAGGATCAGAAAGGCAGCAAGACGGGCTTTCATTAATCTGAAATCAGTGTGGAGACCTACTGCACTGCACCCAGCATGAAGAACAAGATTCGGATTTTCAACACTAATGTCCGTCAAGTCGGTGCTTCTATGTGATGGTTGAGAGACTTGGCACGTTATGAAAAGCATTTCCAACAAACTTAAGACATTCATCAACAACTGCCTACGCTGGCTCGTTACTGAAGATCAGATGGATGGCCAGAATAATAAGAATAAGCAACAAGGAACTCTGGCTGGCTGGCAACGAACCAACCAAGAACCCATCATCCAACAAATATGCAGTGGAAGAAAGTGGAGATGGGTTGGATTGGACATACACTGAGAAGACCGTTCGGGGACATCGCGTGCCAGGCCAGGTTGTCGAGTGGAATTCAGATGCGAAACGACGAGTTGGGCGAGGGTGTCCAAGGGTGATATGGTGGAGACGGTGTGAGGAAGAATTAAAAGCTTCTGAGTAGCCGTAGAGTCAGGTTGGGAGGACTGCAGAGAATAGAGTTAAATGGAGAAGTCTTACTGAAGCCCAATGGACAAATAATAAAAACGAACTCCTATGCTTGGGTCATAAAACAACTAAATTCGATGGTTGGTCAACTTCTTTTACGTAGCTTTAAACCTATCACCGTCACTCAGATGCATCCAAAGAGTAATACCAGATATAAATATTTCATTTCTTGCTTCATATTCTTATCTTATAACTTTTTCCGAACCCCTTATCGGTTTATGTGCCAATGTGTTGGTGTGTGATGTAATAACTTGAACCGATTTGCAACCACCCTAGACCAAATATCGTTCATCCCTACCTGCTGGCATATAAATCCAAAGTAAATTTTTTCTAGCCATATACCTTTTATATTAGATTTGTTTATTTGATATAAAGCGCACAGTGATACAGTATTATTTACTTGATTACGTTTCGAGCATAAATTATTGCTCATAATCATATCAATGTAATCACACTTCTTTCGACATCTGATTTTATAGTCCTGTCACCTGATCTCTCTTTGTTTTTTTGTTTTTTGATTGGTAGTAAAGTTTTCCATATCTCTGGTATAGGTGTTGCGTCATTCCTATTACATGTGTTGGGTGTGAATTCGATGAACAAAGATTCAGTAATTAATCTCTCTCTCCACCTAGCTATATTAGACTTAAGTACAGTGGTTTTGTCCCATCCTATTGTGTGGTTGTGTGTTAATGAATGTAATGCAATGGCTGAGTGTTTTTCTAGGTTATTGATCTTATTGGGGTCTGTCGTTCTATGTTTAGCTAAATTCCTATGTTCTGTTAATCTAACTGACCCCGACCGGCTAGTTTGACCTATGTATTTGACTTCACAGTCATTACATGGAATTTGGTAGATTATATTATTTTGCTTAATTGGTTCTATCGGATCTTTTAGCCGACAAAGCTTACCTCTAAGTGAGTTTGTTGGTTTAAATGCCACCCTAATTCCAACCTTGTTGAGAATCCTACGTATGGTTTCTGATGTTCCTTCCTTGTATGGTATCACAATAGAGGTGCTGATTTCCTTTCTACTTATGTTGTCACTATTATTTGTATTTGTATTAGTGTTATTATTTTGCTTCTTATGCGTCCGTGTGAATTTCTTAATAAAATGATGGGGATAATTATTAGTTATTAACGCTTCTTTTATGTGTTTCAATTCCTTATTTAAGTCCTTACAATGACTAGTGAGTTTCTCAGCTCTGTTATTTAGACATTTGACTAAACCCGCTTTAACTGACACTGGATGAGATGACTTGAAGTCTAGATACCTGTTAGAATGTGTTGGTTTTCTGTAGACGGTAGTATCTAAACCACCATCTATCCTTCGTTTTATTCTGCAATCCAACATAGGTAATTCTCCTTGTTCATTTTCTACTTCGTAGGTGAATTGGATTGCGTTAACTACTGAGTTTATGTGTGTCAAGAAACTGTCGATATGTTCCGATTTCAACACTGTAAATGTGTCATCTACATATCGCCACCATATCTTAGGTGTCGGATTATATGTTCGTAAAGCCATATCTTCCCAACTATCCATAAATATATCTGCTACTATAGGGGATATTGGTGATCCCATTGCTACTCCTTCTGTTTGTCTATAAATCTTTCCCTGAATCTTTGTTCATCGAATTCACACCCAACACATGTAATAGGAATGACGCAACACCTATACCAGAGATATGGAAAACTTTACTACCAATCAAAAAACAAAAAAACAAAGAGAGATCAGGTGACAGGACTATAAAATCAGATGTCGAAAGAAGTGTGATTACATTGATATGATTATGAGCAATAATTTATGCTCGAAACGTAATCAAGTAAATAATACTGTATCACTGTGCGCTTTATATCAAATAAACAAATCTAATATGGAACTACATTCTACCACAGTGCCCAAGTTTTTCACTTACATATACCTTTTAGTTATGAATACAATAAAGTCTGATGTCTGAAACTAAATTTCAACATTACCTATAAGGTGAACAAACAACTTACTCAAATGATGGTGAGCTTGGATCTAATTCGTTAAATCCAACTGGTAAAGGTTTTCCAAGAAGACTTTGTACAATATATTCACAACATAATTGTTCTGTAGTTCCGCCTACTAATACAACTGCTCCTAAACCATTCAACAGATAAATTATTCTTGCTATTGTATCTGGTGTAATTAAAACCTGTAGGAAAAACAGTTTAACAATGGAGACATTACTGAGAAATAAGTCATTTCAGCAACAGATTACACAGTCAAATCGAAATAACGGCACTGTGATATATACTACAAAGTGAAATTAGTAGTCACTAACTCCTTATTCTGACCAAAAGATCTTGCTATCCAGATCGATGTAATCCAGCTATATCAAGGTCATTTGTTTCGCCCGCGATTCAGATCACTTAAGGTGTACTACAATTAGTTTCGTTCAGAGCGAGTAGTTAACGAACAGTGAGTAGGTTTGAAGAGCACGCCCACCTGAGCTGAATCAATCTGGATACACCACTAATCAGTCCGGCTCATAACCTAAAGCACTTCTGTATCGAACTAGAGAACACTGTTGGTTGACGTTATCGGTCTACCAATTATTCATAACAGTTTGTAGTATATCATACAGTTAACATTTTCGTGATCTCTACACCATTTCTAATGTCCAGCAGATAATATATTACAGTCCGAATACATAATTTTTAAAGGGAACCGTAACCAAGTCTCACAATCGGTTCTCGCCTGATTATATCATGGTTGCTTGGAGTTGTGTACTATGCGAAGGTCTGATTTTATTCTACCTACCAGTTGTATTTAGCGATTCTATGGCAGAATGTGGACTACTGGGTTCCAACCCAGTGGCTTAATGGCAACATGCCCGTCGCAGAACCCGAAGGCCATCGGTTCGATCCCTGATGAGGTTGTAAGTCCATGCTGCTGAGGAGTCCCATACCAGGACGAAATGGCTGTCCAGTACTCCTAGGTTTTAGACGGCTCTTCGAATAATTTCAATTCATGATGAATAATAACTTGAGGTCGATAAAATCCCCACAAATCTCCAAATTGAAAACTCCCTTTTTGTTGAATACATACGCATAGCAAACTAGGAAAGAATGTTATTTTATTAACATTTGTTGATGATACGTTTCTCTTTTGAAGTCGTATAAATCAAAAGTGAAATCTGCTGATCACAATATTCACCAAGTCTTTTATTATTATTAAGTTTACTATAGCAGCGAAGACAAACAATAGTTTCGAAGTCTTCAAGGTCCCTTGGTCAGCACGTTACTATTGAGCCACTGGGACTGAACCCAATGGTCCATATTTCCAACATCTGTCAGTCAGTTCATGATATAGGTCTACCGCCACCCAATGTCATCGTTGAGTATTTGTCCTCACTCCTGCAGACAAAACAGCTGTCCAGTGCTCCCAGGTTTCCACTGTTCCTCCAACTTATATCAATCCACGACGAATACCAACTTGAATTTTAATTGCTCATGACCTATTAGCTGTAGGCAAAGCCTAACTATATAGATTTTCTAAAAGAACTGAACCATTTTACTAACTGAAGCAATTCAACTGGTAGATTTCCACAGAAAAGTGGTTATCCTTAGAAGTTAATTGGTACGCATACAACGGATGTACATATTTACGAGGTAATTACAACAGAAAGCTTATGTTTCTCTATCTCAATTGTAAGAGAGAATTAGGTGATATGCGTATGCAACATTCAACCTCAGTTTCTCTTTTGAGAACCAAAATATCTAAGTTAAAGTATTCAGTCGACTCGATACTTATAGTGGTGTCAAGACTATTATCAAGAAATTGAATTATAACCCTTGAAATCCCTTAAATTCTGGTTGGCCTCTCAAGAGAATAACTAGCAGTTAGAATCATTTTTATTCTTTGCACTAAATCAATACAGGAAGACTGCTAATGAGCTTGGCAACAAACAAAGTGTATGAACTACCTTGATCTTGACAAGGAGTACTACTAGTTTGCATGAGTGCTTTACAACTGCTCAGTACCAGCCAGTAGTTTGTATGCTACAGCTTCTAAAATTGAATTTGAAAGAAAAAACCTGGATTTAGGTATTAGATGTTTACAGTCAGTCGGTAGGAGTCCCTGGACTCAGATTTCGTGCTTATTGGAGCTCATCAGTAATACATTTTAGTAACTGAAGAAATTGGTGTTATCTTGGTAACTGAAACCTGCTTCATTCAGTGCCATAGTCAGAAACTTCACCACAATCCCTTGCAGAAGTGAGTAATCTGTATGAATTTGTCACCAGTGGCTAACTGATGCAGCTATTCCGATCTCAATGCTCAGCACTGGCCAAAATCTATCTATCAAGTTTATCTTACTGGCCACATAGGAAACTTGATGCATAAACTGTGTCCACTACTGAGAGCTGGGGGAGTATGGAGCTATATCACTGGTGACTGATTTGCCTAAAATCTGGTTCACCAACAAATTTCAACTACCAGGCTCTTGTTAAGCATACTGGCTTTCTTTTGGCTGTATCTAAGACACACATCTGTTGGTTAGCGAATGGGTATTGACTTCTAACCTATTCCTTTCTTGTAACTGTTTTGCGATAACTGTAAGCCAATAACCTATAGGTCATGGGTCCGAATCGTATTGTTGTCTAAGCCTTTACTTAAGATTCAACATTTATTCATTTATTTACAACCAATATACTGAATTAACCTACCTGATTATCTTCATAGGATCCAATCAATAAACATACTAAATCTGGTCCAAACTCATAAGATATTGGTAGAATAATGTGATAAATTATTGAAAGTAAGCTAACTGCGCTTGTATTACTATCACTTGCTGTTGGTGATGTATTTTTCTTGCCTTTACGATCTACTGTTTCAAGGTTGGTCAGTGTTCTCCTCGATAATGATGATGAGTTTGTTTTCGTTGGTATAGGAATTTTAAGCCAAGTCAAGTTGTTGATACGATCTTTATACCTGGATGTTGAACCAGCATTATGCAATTCTTTAGCACGTAATTCATTTGGTTTTTTAATTAATTGATGCGCCGATTCACCATGATAGACTGAACACCAAATTAAACTGGATAGAAAAAACAAACAAATTCAGTAAAATATATTCATTAACATTTGTCATTTTCCATATGGTCAATTACATCCAGCTGATGAGTCCAATACAGGGTGGAAACGCACACTACTACCAAATAAATAACACTAAAAAGGGAAGATATATGCAATACAGAAGGATAGTTAGACAAATATAAGTAGAAACTTTCCATAGAAGTTTAAGAAAGGACTGCCTTACGAAGGGACTGGAATGGGAGAGTATATCAATCAGTCACCTGGAAAGAGTGAAGAAAGCTTAAATCAAGTACATCATATATTAGTTACAAATCTTAAATGCTTCAAACACTAAATAAACAGATTCACATAAATTTAGTTTTTCAGTTCCATGAAGAGAAAGTTATGTAATCGCTTAATCGCTTAAGACTAAGATATTGTTATGTACAAAAGTGCTTGTGTAAAGGAAATTCATCCAATACATGGCCGTTCGATTTCTATTTGTCAAAGCTACAAAACTGAGCTACTTAACCACCGCAGTTCACGCTTATTCATGTTAGGACTAGACAGTATGGTACTGGTGATCAGATCTTCTAGTGACGAACAAATGTATCTAGTCACCCCTTTTAGGAGGTCATTCACGACTCAAATAACCCGATAGTAACACCACCAACTTGGATACCGAGTGACATGCGTTCGAATCCCTGGTAAGGGTATCATGCCCTCGAGGTTGCATATATACCTTGCTAACAAGTCCCATCAAGCACTAAGTTTATATGCAGAATAGGCTCTCCTGTTTATTGCCATCAACAACCTAAGAAGAAAATATTTTCGCACCATCAGAAGATAGCTACCATGGAAAGCTCACACATACACACAATTTACATTAGTTTGATACTGGCAAAGAAATTCTGAATGCCTACCAGTGATGTTATCCGGTATAACAGTGAGTACTTCATAACTAGAACGTCTACCTCAAAGAATCCAGTACTATGGAAATTATCCGCTTGACTATCAGCCAGAATCATCACATTAGTCAATGCTGTAGGAAGTAACATGCAGTCCAAACAACACTGGAATAACATTCTCAAGTATAATAGTGACATTAGAAGGCTAAGATTTTAACCGACCATCAAGTTACTTAACATCTTTCATTGTTTGTTTCTTTTTGTCTAAACCAAATGAGCCATTCAGTTGCCAGTGATTCAGTGAGTTTTCAATGCAAGATGATGTCAGTTAGTAATGAAAACTACTTGGAATCAATCAATCACTACAAAGCAATAACTGAACTGTGTTTCAGTTTATTTAATAGTCAGCAGGGAGAGTCAACAACGCGAGTTCCACCCTACTTGGGACTCTTCAGCCAGAAGCGCCTGCACCTCGAAGATCTATAGTATCCCCACTGGGACTCGAACCCAGTATCCAACGCCTTAAATGTCGAGAAGTTACCCACCAGACCATTGAGTAAATCACGTCGCGATTAAGTTTATAAGCAATCACTTGTTTTATTTTTTCAAAGGTAACCTCCATTTTGTACAATAAAAAACCAACTTTTATACTAATTTCTAAATTAGCATATTGTTAAAGTACAGAGTGGTGACCTAATGAAATTGACATATATATATATATATATATATATATATATATATATATATATATATATATGTTTATTTCTTCGTGTACAACAGTACAACCGAAACGGAATGTTCACAGTTCAAATAACACTGAAAAGTTCAGTTTGAATAAAGATATGACTCATGTGCATTAATCTGAGGTTATTATTATTATCGTCACGCTTCATTGGCCTAGTGAACAATGTCTTGGCATTTGAAGCGATGGCTGCTGGGTCTGAGTTTCAGTGGGATCAGTATTATCCACTAGGGTGCCGGTACATCTAGCTGGCGAGCCCCAAATAGGAGGAAACACGCGTTCTTGATTCCACTGGTAGCCATTAAACAGACTAAAAGATCCTATGATTACTTGTTGTACATAAATATGACCATTCTAGATAAGGAATTGCGTCACAGGTGACGCAAGTAGGCAATCATCAGTCAAGCCTTTTGTATCCGAGCTACGATTTCATCACCAACCAGCCCTTTCGGACCTATGCAACTCCTCACGGAATAATATAAGTATTCGACACCAAACAACAATACCCATTAGCTAAATTAAGATGATGTAAACATCAGAAAGTGGTTATATTCACTGAAATAATCAGCAGTGTATATAAAGTCAATCAATTCTAATAAATAGGTCTTCAAAACCACTCCAATCCTACAAAGCACATCTTCACATCAGCCATCAAGACAAAATGGGAGATATCGAGCAACATCCCTGAAGAAACCTGTGTGGATGAACGCTGGAACTCTTTGAAACCTATGTGGAAAGAAACATGCATAACCTTATTAGAAAGGAAGAAGAAAGAAGATAAGGAATGGATCTCGACGCACACATGGAAGCTGATAGAGTAGGGAGAGGAAGATGGTGAAGCAGAAGATGAACCAGTGCAAGGATGAACAACGAAAAGAGGAACTGAACACAACCCATAAAAGACTACATTGGACAAAGAAGTGAAGAGGAGTGCACAGACACACAAAAGACACTTCTACGACACACTGACAAGTGAAGCAGAACAGGCTCCTGGTAGGAGAGACAGAGACCTGACAACATTGCATCAAATAACCAGGTTACTATCTGGGAAGAGATCAACACAGATGAAGCCGATAAAAGATGGTGAAGGAAATTTAATTACCAGAGAGGAGAAAAAAGGAACTATGGGTTGACCACTTCAACAAGCTCTTGAACCGACCACCACCTGCACTTCGTCCGGAAATACCACCGGTATCTACACTACTACCAGTGAACGCTAACAATTCGGCAAGATAGTGTAATTAGAAGACGAAGTTTATCTGAGCACTGTGATGTATTTGCCCAATACATTTCGAACAATCTGATCACACGTTTACTTGTCAAGTCAATATATATTAAACCGAGGACTGGGAGGGGAGATAAATACAACAATTAACACAATAGGGGATTAAGATTAAGAAAGATGATGACAAACAGGAAGTGACATATTTGGTCCTAATCTTGGTAAGAAAACAAAGTTTACCAAGGTAGGTGTAGTGTAATAACAAACTGTTGTTGTACACATAAAAAGTGGTTTAAATTTGTGTATGCCTATGGCTTCCACAAATCTCGGAATACATCCCTGACTGTTTCTATTTAAAACTTTGAGAGCTGTTTGAACATTAACTTTGTGACCTGTTTCTATGATATGTTTAGCTATAGATGAAGAGGGTCGTCTCCCACCAGCGTTTATCACTGTTTCACACTCCATTTGTTTTTGAAGCCATTTAGGCACATGTTCTCCCACCCTCAACTGCATAACTCGACTACTACTCCCCATGTATATGTGACCACACACATATGTAAATTGGTAAACACAATGGGATGTGATATAATCACTAATACAGTGTTTAGGTTTTTGGTGAAGCATGTGTTTTGTTTTCTCCACAATGGTAAGATTCGCCACGTAATACATTTTCTTAATGGCTGATGTCAGCCTTCGTCTCAAAATGATACTATTTAGCTCCCTCTGTATGGCAGAGCGATATGGACGCTTTTCTTAGGAACCGCGTATACAGTTGGCTTTGGTGCTACTTGACCTCTACAACGGTTTATAAACTTCATCGAATATCCACCTTCCATAAGTGCTTTGCTCAGTAATTTGATGTGATGTCTTCATCCATCACATCTGGTGTACTGATACGATAGATCCTGTTAAACAGGCATTTTACTAAACCTCACTTGTATTGGATTGGATGGACAAAAACTGTGGAAATTCAGGTATTGTCATGTCCATGTAGGCTTTCTGTGAACTGACCGTCTTATTGAACCATCTTCTTGTCGACTGAGGAGTATATCCAGGAATGGTAGTTGATTACTATTCTCTTCCTCACATGTCGGGCTGATGTGTATTTGTACGGCGTTAGGTCTATTTAGTAGACAAGCCGTATTCTCACGCGTCTCACAAACCACTATGCTGTCATCAACATATTTCTTGTGAAGAGGAACTTTAGGGATGAGATCACTAGCCAGATTTTCAATATATGACATATAAATATCAGCCAGTAATGGTCCTAATGGACTACCCATAGCTATGAAAACCAAAATGCGGTTCTATCGTTCTTCTATGCAGAAATGACCATCTCTTAAAGTTAAGAATCATTCTATCTAAATATTTGAATAACCTTAAAAGAAATTCTTCTTTTCCTTATAAAGTTAATTAATACAACTGATGTCATCCGACCGGATGAAGAAACATTGACAGTCAAATGTCGGCGTTTATAGAACAACTAACAATCATTACAAGACAAGATTGTTAACTAGTACTCTTCAATTTTAGAACAGTAGTATTTTTATTCTACTTACATTGTTCTTTCTTTTGCGACTGACTGATTAAAAAGTAGTATAATGGTATTAGTCTAGTATTTATATTTTCGATTGAATATACAACAAAGAAAAACTTAATTTTACTGGCATTTCCTGTGTTTAGTACCGACAGTTTTATCAAAGTAATCGTCAACCGGAATTCATAATATTCAAGCTTATGCTTGACGAGCTTATCACAGTTTTTCTGTATCAATGATTCTGTACTGTCGAGTGATTGAAAATGATAGCGAACATGAACAATAGAAGTAAATGAAATCAGATACAGTTATGTTTATTCACCTCATTCCCAATTAGGCGACTTCAGGGAATACACTATGTACATTAATTGGTTACTGGAGAGTAAGTACTCTCTCGTTATCTGGTCCTGAGCACTGATTGAATTTCACTGTTCATTTGGCAATTTACCCACCAAGCTGGGAAGCTCATCATCTCAGTTCACTTTATTATTATTATTATTATTATTATTAGTCCCTTGAGTTCCTAGTGGAACATAGGGCTTCAGTAGCACGTCTCCAGTGAACTCTGTTCTCTACAATCTTTTGAACCTGGTTCCACGACAGCCCGCAA